ACGCTGCTAGTTTTTGTATTTTTAGTAGAGACGGGGTTTCACTGTGTGTAGCCCAGGGTAGAACGATGTTGACATTTTTTTCCATGTGCTTATGTGGCATCCATATATCTATGTATCTACCTTGGTAAGGAGTTTGTTCAAATCTTTTGCCCATTTTATGTATGTATGTATGTATTTTTATTTATTTTTGTAGAGATGCCCAGGCTGATTTTGAACTTCTGGCCTCAAGCAATCCTCTTGCTTGGCCTCCCACAGCAGTGAGATTATAGGTGCTTCCCATTGTGCCCCGCTCTCTTGCCCATTTGAAACACTGGGTTTCTTGTTTGTTTGTGTGTTTTTGTTTGTTTTTTACAATTGCACTTTGAAAGCTCTTTTGTGTCTTTGTGTACTCCGGACATCAGTCTAAGACTTGAAAATATTTTGTTTGCCTGTGGCTTGCACAGGAACGAACACCTTGCTGTATTGTGCTTTGCTTTACCGCACTTCACAGATGCTGTTTTTGTTATTGTTGTTGTTGTTCTTTTTACAAATTGAGGGTTTGTGGCAACCCTGGTCAAGCAAGTCTATCGGCGCCATTTTCCCCGCACCATGTGCTCACTTTGAGTGTCGGTGTAAGCAGCTTTCAGCAATAAAGCACTTTTAATTCAGACACATAGTTTTTAGACATAATGCTGTTGCACACGTGTCATGTAAACATAGCTTTTATACGCACTGGGAAACCAGAAGTTCACGTGACTTGTTTTACTGAGAAGTTCACTTTATTGTGGTTTTCTACAACCAAACCTGCAATCTCTCTCATGTGTGCCTGTATTTTTATTTTCTTAATGGTGACTTTTGAAAAGCAAATATTTTCCAATTTGGTAAAGTCCAAACTATGATTTTTTTCTTTAATAGGCAGTGATTTTGGTGTCATATCAAAGAAAAGCTTTGTCTCACTAAAGATCACAGAGATTTCATTCTATGCTTGCTTCTAGAAGTGCTCTATGTTCAGCTTTTAAGTTTAGGTGTCAGATGGATTTGGGACTAATTTTTGTGTGGGGAATGAAGTGGTCCTGGGTAATCTTTGTACAGGTATGAAGAACTCAAATCATTCTTTTTTCTTTTCCATGTGGATATCCAATTGTTACAGTACCACTTGTTGAACTATAATTTCTCCCCATTTAATTATTTTAGTACAATTATTTAAAGTCAATTGACCATAAATGAAAGGTTTAACTTTGGACCTTTCTTCTGGTCCATTTCTCCACATCTGTCTCTACATCAGTGCCACACTGTTTTTATTACTGTAGCTTTATGTCACTCTCTATGTCAGCGCCACACTGTCTTTAGTGCTACAGCTTTATAGCAAAATTTAAAGTCTCATTGCCTAAGTTCTCCAATTTTATTTTTTCTCAAAATTGTTTTCGCTTGTATAGTAGTCTAGGTCTTTTGAATTTGCATATACATTCTATGACCACTTTGTCATCTCTGCTAAATCAGAAGCCTGCTGGGGTTCAGCAGGGATTGTGGTAAATCTGTAGATCAGGTTTGGAGAAAATTGCTCTTTCAATAGTATTTTTTTCCAATCTATGAATGCTGCATACCTTTTCACTCAATAGAGTATCTCGATTTCTCTCAGTCATGGTGTGTAGCTTTCAGTGTATATATCTGCACAAGATTTGTCGAATCTATTCTTTTTTATAAGATGGTGAAAGGAAGTTTTAAAAATATAACCCAGATTTTTCATTGCTGGTGGATAGAGATGTGTGAGGATGTATTTTAATATATGCCCCACATCCTTGTTAAGCGATTTTATTATCTTAACTGGGTCTTAAAACATACTTTTAGGATTTTGTTGTCTGCAAATAAGCACAGTTTTACTTTGTATTCTGTGTGCCTTCATTTTCCCTGCTGCGTTGGGCTGGCCGGAATGTTCCGGCAACGTCAGAAGTAGGAGGAGGGGGCGTCATCGCCTGTGCCCAGCCTCAGAGAGAGGGTCACCAGCCTTTCACCAAGAAATGTCACGTCAGGTACACAGGGTGCTTTCCGGTCATTCCTAGGTCACTGAGATTTGTTAAAAATCATGAATGGGAACTTGCTGGTAACAAACTCTTTTCTGCATTGACTGGCTTGATCACATGGTCACTGTTCTCTATTGGACGAACGTGCTGAGCTGTAGTAATTGATTTCTAGGCCTTAAGCCACTGCTTACCCCTGGAGTGATATCACTTGGCCACAGTGCATGGTCCTGAGCCCAGTGCTGCTGGATTTGGTTTGCCAAGGTCTTATCAGTGGTCTTTGCCTGTGTCTCCTGAATATATTGGCTTACGAACGTCTGGTTTTGGTGTCAGGTGATGGTGGCATTGCTGAATGAGCTGGGAAGTGTTGCTTCCTTCTCTGTTTTCTGAAAGAGTCTGTGTGTAGTTGGTATTATATTTTTTTCTTAAAATCTCTGCTAGAATTCATGCATGAAGATTTCAGGGCCTGGGATTTTTCTTCACTGGGAGATTTTAAATTAATAGTTCAGTCTCTCGGCAGCTCTATGTCTGTTGAGATTTTCTGTGTCTTCTTGAGTTAGTTATAATAATTCATGTCCCTTAACTGAAAAGGGAACTAACTTCCTTAAGTTAAAAAGCGTGTTTCAGGCCAGGCACAGTAGCTCATGCCTGTAATCCCAGCACATTCGCAGGCCAACGCGGGCGGATCACCTGAGGCCAGAAGTTTGAGACCAGCCTGGCATGTCAAAATCACGTCTCTACTAAAAATACAAAAATTAGCCAGGCATAGTGGCACACATCTGCGATCCCAGCTACTTGGGAGGCTGAGGCAGGCAAATTGTTTGAACCCAGGAGGTGTAGGCTGCAGTGAGCCGAGATTTCACTACTTCACTGCATCCTGGGCAACAGAGCGAGACTCTGTCTAAAAAAAAAAAAAAGATGCAAAAAGCACATTTCAACCTTGGAAGAGTTAGAAGATGTATAATGAAGCATAGAAATGTTTAGGAGACCCAGTTCCATTACTATCTTTGCACTAGGAAGTCATTGGTGCATTTCTGGTATTTAAGTTCACAAAGACACACAGACACACCCATGCACATAGCCTCACACAGACACACACACACTACACACACTCACAGCAGAGTTCACAGGCTGCACCAGCCATGAAGCAAAGGAGCGTCGCTGAGAGGTCCCAACCACAGAGAGACCTTAGACATTGTCCCAGGCCTGAGACATGGAACAGAGACACAAGCAGTACCTGGAGAAATCCGTCCTCTATTTGCGCACATGGATCTTTCCTCGCCGCTTGGTGTTTTGAACTCGCTTCTTTGCGGGTCTTAATGAGATACTCAAAGGTGGTCATCTTCTTGGCCTCTGGAAAGCGGAAAGGAGGAACAGGACAAGTTACCAGCCCTGCAGCTTTGCGCAGCGCCCACAGGACAGTTCAGAAAGGCAGCCAGCGCCACTGACCCAGCCCCTGCGCAGGGAGCGGTGCTCCGCCCACCACGCAGGCCCTGTGAGGCCAGGATGGGTGCAGGCGCCTCGTGGGTCCAGCTCCACAGGTAGCTGATGGTCAGCAAGAGAGGTCTGCAGCTGTGACCTGGGGACCGGCACCGCTCCACACCCCCCTGCCCACCAAGGCCTCACTGAGCTGCATCGTCAGTGGTGTCAGAAGAGAAGCTGCCTCTCACAGACCTGGGTCCCCCATACCATGCAGCCTGAGAGGTTGCTCCAGATCCGCTGGGAACACTGGCGGGGGTCAGAGGCCAGCTCAGGAGGGGCCGCTCTGTCTGAGGGTCCGGGTGGCCTGCGGGATTCCTCACATCTGGACACGGGGTGGGGCACACCTTGGGGTATTCACAGAGACCCCGAAGTCAGAGGACCACACAGTGCGGCAGCCACCCCGAGGTGCTAGCTAGCGGGTCCTGGGACCACACACTGCTGCTGGCGCTCAGAGCCCCAGGCCCAGGAGGTGAACATGAGTGCCGTCAGTGCCACTCAGCACAGCCTCTGATGGGCCCGAGACAGGTCACATCCCTGCAGCCCTGCACAGAGCCCACCTCAGCAGGCCAGCCAGAGCCCCATCCACCCGGCCTGCACTGCAGGCAGCAAAGCAGCGCATCCAAGCAAAGGAAAACCTGAGACACCCGTTTATCTAAAAGACTCGTCTTAATAAATGTTAATAAAATGGGCTCTGCACCTATTTCAGCCACGAGCTTCCGGGGAGGTGCCAAAATCTCCATGCTGCTTTCCCTAAGCACCAACACCGTGAGAGCTGATGTCTCGTGACTATTTCCGGAGACTGGGGCAGCCGCCCACAGAGGCCTATTTGCAGTGAGGAGCAGATGGCGGTGGGTGCCCAATGGAGTTGCCTGCAGCCAGCCCAGCCCCGTCGCCTGCAGTGTTTTGGGTGTTCGGCCCTAGGGCCCTGAGCTGCTTCACATAGCTCTGGCTAGTCCTCCACGCCCCCCAGAACCTGTCGTGGTTTGAGCACACAAACTTGTGCTTGTTTATATTCAAGTTAAAATATATGTTCTTTTGCCCAGGTATGCACAAATACCATCAAAACCAGATTTTCAGCGTGCCCTGTGGCTCCCAGAGGCCCACTTGGTGCGGGTGAGCTCTGTGGGAAACAGTTAACCTGAGCGTCATGGTGAGGTTGAGGGCAGGGAAGCCGCGAAACCTCCCACGCGGGCCCAGGGTCTCCAGCATGGCCGGGGCTCCCTGGCCGGCCGGGCAATGTGGGGAAGGCTGTGCTTCCCTGACCTCATCAAGCAGGTTTTCTCTACAATCTACCGTGAATGTGGCTCCCATCCATCTCTGGAAGGCAGCCCCACATCACTCACCTGCTCAGGGAATTGTGCCCTCACCACGAGCCCTGAGGACTCTCCAAGGTCCGTCCTTCAGCTTCAAAATGAAGTCTGAGTGGCCAGCTGCTTCTGACACAGCTCCCCATGGCCCCCCACCCAACACCTGCCCCCAGATGAACAGAACACACATGCAGGCCAGGCTGCACCTCCAGGAGCCTGCACAGGAGACTGGCGACCTTGCCCTAAGGACCACCCTCCACAGCTGCCTCAGCCTCACGGAGTGGGAGACAGATGGCCTCTCAGGCCTCTGGAGGAGACACAGTGACGACCAGGCGGGTGGTCCTGAGCCCTCCTTCCTGGTGTCCTGGTTCCTGACGCCGCCAGTGCGCTCTCCTGCCAGCGCTGAGCCTGGGAGCCTGGCCTGGATGTGGCCGCGCAGCGCGGAGGACCTGGCGAGGCCTTCCATGCCCAGCCTAGGTTTCCAAAGCAGCAGCCCCTCCAGGCGGCGGACATGCCCTACCCTGCCCCCAGTCCTCCTGGGCTTGAGCCCACTTGTGGGGAGTAAAGACCCCCCATCTTCATCCCACTGTCTGGACAGGACATGGGGATGGACAAGAGCCCATGTCTGTGGTGGGTGCGGACGCCGGAGCGTAGACCACCCCCCAGCCTTCCTGCACCAGCCTCACTCTGGGCAATGGCCCTGGAGGAGGCCGCACCTGCCCTGTGGTTCCAGGACTTGAGGCTGGGGGCTTGGATCCCACCTGTACCTATAGGACCTCCCTTGCAGCCGACAGCAGCCCTGTAGCCACCCCCTAGGCCATCACGGATGCCCCCAGGGCCCCTGGAGACACTGGAACCCTTCCCTCCCTCTTTCCCTGGGGCTTGCCTTGAAAACCCCCAAGAAACACAGCGCTCTCTTGCCCTGGGATCACAGGGGAGGGACCTCGTGCATGAAATCCACTGAGGATCAAACATGCCTGAGTGCCACCGCGTTCCGTTCCAGGGGAGCAGCGGGTCACCTGCAGGTGACAGACACAGCCCTCCAGCCTCAGCCCTGCCTGCAGAGGAGTTGGGGCGGCCTGGCACTGCGTCCCCTTCACAGCACAATGAGGGGCTATCCACCCGCAGCCACAGGGTCCGTCCCTGGAAGCTCCATTAGCGTCAGCTGTGGCCATGGCAGGGGCCCTGTGGGGCCAGCGGTGACCTGAGCCCCTGGGCCCCTGGAGGTGACCCTGACAGCACGGGGCCTCGGCGAGGGTGGGCACTCACACGGTGACCTTGCACAGGTGGCAGAACTGGTTCTGGATCACGTGTGCGTGTTTCGATCTGTCGAAGATCGGCATGGGCTGAGAGTAGTTCTTCATGAGTCTGACATTGAAGTCGGCCGGGTCGATGCAGGAGGCAATCAGGTGGACGACGAGGTGGAAGAAGAAGATCCCTCCGGTCACCTGGCACGTCAAGGAAGAACCTGGCCCAGGGCCTCGTTGGCCTGGTCAGCCTGGCACGAGGTGTCCCCATGAGGCCCAAGGGCCCAGGGGAGGTGAGGCCACCAGTCAGCCCTACTCACCCAGCCCTACACACCCAGCCCTGCACACTGGAGCCCAGCTCAACCAGGCTCGGCCCTGCTCACCCAGCCCTGCACACATGGCCCCGTACACGTAGGCCTGCAGACCTGAGCCCTGCACACCCAGCCCTGCTCACCCGAGCCCTGCTCAGTCAGCTCTACACACCAAGCCCTGCACACCCTGCCCTGCACACACCACCCTGCACACCTGGCCCTGCTCACCTGGCCCTGCTCACCTGGCCCTGCTCACCCAGCCCTGCACACCCAGTCCTGCCCACTTGGCCTGTTTACCCAGCGGTGCACACACAGCCCTGCTTACCCAGGCCCAGAGGAGACAAGGCCACCCATCAGCCCTGCACACACAGCCCTGTGCCAGGCGGGGACCGGGATGGCTGCCCCCATGCCCTTTTTGTTCATCCCTGTTGGACACAGGGCAAATCCCCTACAGAATGCACCGCACCCCCAGAGGCTCAGCCAGCCCAGCCAAGCACAGTCACCCCAAAGCCCGTTACACCTTGAGGGACAGAGCAGGGCCGCAGGAGGGACGCCCGGGTGTAAACACAGCCAGAGGCAGCCCCAAAGGCCGTGGGGAGCCTGGTTCTTTCATACCAGAGACCCGCGAGCACTGGGGGAGAAGCACAGCCTCAGACAGCAGGAGGGGGGAGGAGGCAGGGAGCTGCACAATCTACCCGCTCCCTCTAGACCCCAGACGGTCGCTCAGGGACCCTCTCCCCGAGACTCGCTCAGGGAAGCCCCCCCTAGACTCGCTCATGGACCCCAGACTCACTCAGGGCCCTTCTGGACCCTCTCAGGGACTCCAGACTCTCTCAAGGACCCCAGACTCACCTGGGCCTGTCTCGGAGCCTGGCTGCGGGGCCACTGGGGAGAGGGTCCTTGTCCCCTACAGCCAGGAGAAGCTGGGCTCCCCGTGACCGAGACATCAGCTCCCGCCCTCAGATCCTGGCTCCCTCCTCCTTTCACCCTGGGACCAACACAGACTCCCCATGGCAACCAAACACAAGGGGTGGAGCGCAGGGCCCTCCCGTCACCCTGCCTGGCCCCTGGACCGCCTTCTAGCCAGGAGTTCAGGGTTGACAGCCGTCTCCGCGGGGCAGCCCAGAGGCCCTCACCGCATGGCCTAAGCTTGGCATGGAAACCCAGGCTGCCCACCTGCGGGGCACAGCGCTGTCCTCCTTGGCACAGGGGCGAGGAGGGAGGTGCTGACCATGTGCAAAAGGCCGCGCAGGGAGTTTAGCAGAAGGCTGCCAGCAGGGCGGGTCTGGCGCCAGGTCAGGGGGCTGCTGTTCCTTCAGACAGAGCCCCTCTCTGGAGCCCCCTCAGGCAACGTTGGGACAGCTTCGCTGCTGCTGGGCTCACACTCCGCCTTGTCCTGGCACCACCCTGGGGCATAGGGTTAGGGTTTTTATGCAGCAGCCCTTCCCTGACGAGGGCCCCGTAAGAAACGTGCTGTAATGCATGGGAAGCCTGAGTGTGAAGCTGGTTCCGACCGAAACGCAGACACAGGGGCCGAAGCCCTCAGCAGGACGCGACGCACACCCTGCATCTTCCAGGCCGCCCGGCGGCCCCGACCCCGGGTGCTTGTGAGCATGAGCTGAGGAGGCGGCTCTGTGGGTGCAGACATGGCTGCAAGGAGGACAGGACAGAATGATCTGGATGCCAAGGGGATGGGACTAGGGAGCTGCTGCCCAGGCAGGGGTGCGGTGGGAGCTGGACAGTGCGGCTGGAGGCCAGCCGGGCTCTGGGGAACTCACATGGGGGCCAGAACTGATCAGATCAGTGGCCACTCTGATCCCACCATGCTAGAGGAGGGGCCTGCAGGGACCCCGCCAAACGGGAGTGGACTGAGCCTGCAGGGCTCACTGTCCAGCTGGTGACACCGACGTGACAAGGCTGCATCCCGGCTGCTGTCTCGTGTACCCTCTCCCTGCAGGCTGAGCTGGGGACGCTGCACTATTTACGTGGTTGCCGGGGCAACAGAG